CGCAGAGAAGCTCCTAGTCTGGGGGAACACTGATGAGAAGGCCGAGAGAGAGAAAGCTTTCCCCTGGAGCTGACACCTTGAATTTGGACTTTTAGCCTACTTTGACTGTGAGGAAATAAACTTCTCTTCATTAAAACCATCCACTTGTGGTATTTCTGTTGTAGCAGCACTAGATGACTAAGACAGGGTGGGAATAGAAGCAGAGGTAGAAGGAACTCTTATATTGTTTGAAATGTTTATTAGCATGCATTATTTTTATAATTATTTTTTAAATCAAATTTAATAAATAGCTTGAGAGGAGGGTTTGGAACACTTATCAAGATACACAGCACCTACCTAGACAAAGCCTATGACCTTTAATGAAGCACACCTATCAACCCTTTGCAATGCAGCTGACCATCAGCAAGACAATATATAAAAAGTTAGGGCATCACTCACCTTGAACACTTCAGAGAAGAAGCCAGACCCTATTTTCTCACAGGTGAAATCATCCAAACGTGTCAGTCTGGAAAAGGCACTTATAAGAGCTCGATATGAAGATGGCCAGACTCTTCCCACCTGGGTCACATTCCCATCCCCTCCACCGCCTCCTTCAAAATCTTCAAGACGCTCCACACGTGGAGGAAATCCTGCAATTGAATTCCGTTTGCTCCGATCCATAGTTCCAATAATCACTTTTTTTCTTCTTTTAAGAAGGAACTCCACACATATTAATTATTTGTTGAGTTTTACTTCTGTTCTGGTTTGACACTAAACAAGAGATAGAAAAGACATCTCATTAAAACCATCAACATGCAAAGCAATGAGCTCTCACTACAAATTTACATTCTAGCTGCAGATTTTCAGATCTAAAAAATATACTTCTACCTTCAAAACGCACTAATTTATTTAAAGCCCAAGATGTAGCCAGGCTTTAAACATCAATTATATTCTAAATAACAAAATACCAATGATAATTAATGTCTATCATTCATTGAGCACCTACTATTTAGGAAACAGTATAAGAGCTTTACATATGTCATCTCATTTGATTCTCAAATAATCCATGAAATAACATTATTACGTTCATTTCACAGAGAGGTCAAATAATCATAGTCACTAAATGGCAGAGATAAAACTAAAATGCAAGACTGATTGAAAAGCCTGTGCTCCTACCAATACTCTACACAACCTCAACATTTTCTCTTCATTTGAAAAATTATTAAGTCCAAATATATAAAAACAAAGATAGCAGGGAGCATTCAAAATTATTATATAATTTAAAATATATATATATCCAAAAGTAATTTTAAAAATTCACTGTTGATTCACCAGCACAGTCCCGCAGAAGCGACTATAGAAGGCTCCATACATGTGGTACATGAGTAAGAATAAAAGCACCTACCAACTTTTTTCTTTTAGCCCATCTCTCTATTTCCATTTCTTTTCCATGAGAATTGATTATAAGGGTTCTATACAAAATACAGAGCCCTGGTGGCACAGTGGTTAAGAGCTCGGCTGCTAACCAAAAGGTCGGCAGTTTGAATCCATCAGCCGCTCCCTGGAAACCCTATGGGGCAGTTCCACTCTGTCCCATAGGGTCACTGTGAGTCGGAATCCATTCGACAGCAACGAGTTTGGTTTTCTGATACAAAATACAACATGGTGACCCTTCAGTTAATGAGATCCTTTCATAAATGTGGTAGATACCTACCTGCCTCACTCCACCACCTCCAACCATGGAGTAGTGGCAAAGTTCCCAGGGCCATATTTACAACATGACTCTGCCTCCCTAGCCATAGCCAGAAGTGGAGACTCTACCCAAAACGGACCAATCACGGTTCTTTCCTGGTAATTTGGAATTGGAATTAAGAAAGTCCAGCCTCAGTCTGGCTGCTCTTCTAAAACAGAGGCTTAGGCTATATAAAGTCAGGAGCTGTTGGCCATGGCCATTTTCCACCACGTAGCCTGGAAAGCAGCAGAAGCCTAAAGACTGAGGCAGACTTGCCAAAAAAAAAAAGAGAGAGAGACAGAGACAGAGAGAACTTCTTGATTTCTCTCCTGTGCTCTAGTCCCCAATTCCTGGGGCCTAACCGTATCCTGGTTTAGGGTTCTATGAGATATCCCTGTATCTTTAAAATAAACTATTTTTGCTTAAGCTAGCTCCTCTGGAGTCTTCACAGAAGGAAGAATAATCTGAGTTCCCAAAGAATAAAATATTTAAGTATCACTATTGTACCTGTGAGGAGCCCTCGTCGTGCAATGGTTAAACTCTCAGCTGCTAACTGAAAGGTCAGCAGTTTGAACCTACCAGCTGCTCCATGGGAGAAACGTGGCAGTCTGCTCCCGTAAAGATTACAGCCTTGGAAATCCTATGGGGAAGTTCTACTCTGTCCTACAGGGTTGCTATGAGTTGGAACTGACTCAATGGCAGTGGATTACTGAACCTCTGCCAAAAAGTGGCATAAGGGTCACAAGACCAAAAATTTAGGGTCATAAGACCAAAACTTCTTAATTTTATAGCTAGTACAGACCATAAAGTCTAGTCATTTATTTTATATTTAAGGAAACGTTAGGCCCAAAAAGTGGAAATGATTTGCCTATAGCTGTAAGTTATTTGGAGCCCTGGTGGCACAGTGGTTAAGAGCTTGGCTGCAAACCAAAATGTCGGCAGTTCTAATCTACCAGCCACAGTCTGGAAACACTATAGGGCAGTTCTACGCTGTCCTATAGGGTCACTATGAGTCCGAATCAACTCGATGGCAACAAGTTTTGGGTTATAAGCTATTTGGGGGCAGTGGTGGTTCAGTAGAACCATCAACTTCCATGTGGGAGATGTGGGTTCAATTCCTGTGCCTGGGCAATGGACCTCAAGTGCAGCCACCATCCGTCCGTCAGCAGAGGCTTACGTATTGCTATGATGCTGAATAGGCTTCAGCAGAGCTTCCAGACTAAGACAGACTAGAAAGAAAGGCCTGGTGATCTATTTCGAAAAACCAGTGAAAACCCTATGCATCACAATGGTCTGATCCTGTTGTGTATGGGGTTGCCACACATTGGGGGCTGACTCAAAGGCAGCTAACAAAAACAGTAAGCTATTTACTAGCAAAGTAGAATTGGAACCAAGAGTGGTGCATTTTTCAAAGTGTACCCACTGGTCATCTGCTCCAAAATTATCTGAGGACCTTGTTTAAGACCCAGATTTCAGTTCCTGGGTGGCACAAAGGGTTAAGTGCTTGACTACTAATCAAAAGGTTGCAAGTTTGAACCCACCCAGAGGTGTGAAAGGTTAATGACATGAAAAAAACATTTAAAACCAAGATTCCTAGGTCCTACTGTTGACATGAATCAGAATCTCTTGGGCAGTGAGACCTGGAAACTTTATCAAGCTCCCTCCAATGTTCCTTGGATATTTCTTATGTACACTAAGAGTTGAGGATCCTCTGCCGCAGGGAAAGGGAATTAATAGCTTTTTTCAAACGCCAGGAATTTTCCAAACATTTCCTCATTTAATCCTCAAAATGTACCACCAAGATAGGTACAATCTCCATTTTACAAAAAAAGAAATGTAGGCTCAGGATGTTAAGTAACCTGCCTAAGGATACACAAGCTGGTAGAACCAGAAGTGGAACTGGGTCCATCCAACACCAAAGCTCCAGCTTTTTCCATTTCGTCATTACTTAGGTTCAGTGTTTTTCCACTATGAGAGCTGTAAGGAGTTAAGCTAGTCGTCTGTGTAGAAAAGAGGACCAGGATTTACATGCAGAGGAAAGACAGGCCGATTATAATTTGAAAAAGATAGAAAAAAGGAAAAATAAACTAAACTTTAAGGAAAATAAAATACAAGATATTAAAGTTGAAATCAAATATATAAAACATAGTTGCCTGCTAAACTACCTAAACAATTTGATAGGCTTGCCATCTACCGACTTTTTCATTTTTTGAAATATATTTCATGTTGAATAAAATACATTGTTAACCTCCATAAGCCCTCAGGGTTGGAGGGGAGGAGTTGCAGATCCTAGTTCTCCATACTAAAGGGTGAAGACAGAATTGTTCACTGCAGCTCAGCAGGTCTGGTTTTACATTCTCAGATAGGTGGGAATAAGTAAGGAATTGCTAATTGCCAACTAAACTGGTTTGGTAGGAGTCTGTTACAAGTTTCAAAAGAGCACAATAAATAGACTGGCAACTTTGATATTTTTATTTTGAAAATATGACTTTGTGTTTTGGCTCACAGCACTTTCGGGGGGGGAGGGGAGAAGTATTTCTAAAAAGTTATGTGCTAAAATCACACTGATTAAGGGTAGAGTTGCATAGCCAATTACTGCAATTGCTGTCAATAAGTTGTATACCAGTAAAAAGTTGAATTGGCAAAAGTTGCGTGATAGATATATTTACAACGACAAAAAAAAGAGTAGCTGCTGAGGCTGCTTATGTACAACCAAAAATGTCATGGGATTTGGCTCCTTGGTTTGGAGGCTTAGGGTCATGTTTTCCTGGGATATCCCAGTTAATTGGCCTAATAAAGTGTTTTGTGCTTTGGTTCTACCTCCTTGTCTCCTAGTTCGTTGTGTAGCTCCTGGGGTCTTAAAAGCTTGCAGGCAGCCATCCAAGGCACAATAATTGGTCTCTATTTACCTGGAGCAACAGAGAAAGGAGAGTCAGGAACTGGGGAATGAAATGGAATGTGTGGCTAATTGCCTCCATGAACAACTGCCTCCTTTGCCATGAGCCCAGAACTGGATGGTGCCCAGTTACCATTACTAAACATTTTGATCAAGGATTCTATAGAGGAATCCTGATCAAAAGAGTGAAAATGCAGAACAGAATTTCAAATTCTCATGGACTCCAGACTTTCTGGAGCCATGGAAGCTGGATGAACCCCCGAAACTACTGCCCTGAGATAATCTTTATACTTTAAACCAAAAATATCCCCTGAAGTCTTCTTAACACCAAACAATAGGTTAGCTTACCTAGTTAAAAATGTCTGCCTTGAGCATTATGCTCTTTTAAGAACTGTTTATATTGGGTCAAACTGACAACAGTAACCTGAAAGATTAGATAGGAACCTTATGGGGCAGTGAGTTTATGTTAATGGAGGAGGAACAACTCAGAAAAAGAGGGTACTATGGATTGAACTGTGTCCCCCAAAAATGAGTATCAACTTGTCTAGGCCATGATTCCCAGTATATATGGTTGTCTTCCATTTTGTATTGTAAAATATGTGTTGTAAATCCTAACCTCTATGATGTTAATAAGGCAGGATTAGAGGCAGTTATGTTAATGAGGCAAGACACAATCTACAGGACTAGGCTGTATCTTCAGTCAATTTCTTTTGAGATATAAAAGAGAGAAGCCAGAAGAGAAGACAGGGATCTCATTATCACCAAGCAAGAAGAGCCAGAAGCGGAGCATGTCCTTTGGACCTGGGGTCCCTGCACTGAGAAGCTCCTAGACCAGCTGAAGACTGATGACAAGGACCTTCCCCTCAGAGCCACCACAGAGAGAGAAAGCCTTCCCCCAGGGCTGGCGCCCTGAATTCGAACTTCTAGCCTCCTGAACTGGGAAAGAATAAATGTCTGTTTGTTAAAGACATCTACTTGTGGTATATCTGTTATAGCAGCACTGGATAACTAAGACAGAGGGTGAGAATGGTTACACAATTTTAAGAACGTAATCAATGTCACTGTATTGTACACGTAGAAACTGTTCAACTGGTGTATGTTTTGCTGCATA